AAATAATTATATCTATTTGAAAGATTTTAAAATAGAATTTTTCAAATATATATTTCATTGGCATTATTTTCAGAATTTTCTATATAAAAAGAAAAACCCAAATAATCACAGCTGAATAAAAAAAAAGATACAAATTGACATCTAGACATCTTGATATTTCCTATGTGAATTCTTGAATACACGAGCATATTAGCAAATTCGAAGAAATCAGTGGCGTAATTAAAGAAACGAAGATTGAAATATACTGGACTCGAGTATCGTCCCGAGAGTATCCGATCGAACGTAAAAAAAAATCAACCCTACCCTTGTCTCGCTGGACCGCCATCCAGCATCCCGACATCTCGTGAGATCAGAACTTAAGGCAATTGCGCCTCAGCGCACTGATACAACAAAGGGCACCTTCTAACGCGGTTATACCTCGTAAGCGAAACTCTATTGCTATATCCCATCCTATATTGGCCGTCTCAGAGAAACCCACCTTCATCCATCCTACCTCGACTTTCCCCGTCCAACCTCCTTCAACCCTTATCGGTCTATTACTTCCTCTCTCTTTCCGCCGCTCTGTCTCTATCAATACCGACCTAATCTACTTTGCCGGCAAATAGTGTTCGCCTTCCCCAGACAATGTAACCCCCTGGAAACTACCCTTCCCCGTGTACTTGTATCTCCTCCTGGTACAAGTCCGTGCTTCGAGTCTCTTCCTCCGCGATTTATCCGCGTGCAGAAAACGCGATCATCGCGCGTCCGCTCGAATTAATTTGGATTGTTTAGAGATTGTTTTGGGAATGCGAGTAATTTTCGATAAGCAAGTGAGAGGACGGTAATCTCGAGTGAGATGAGCCGAAATAGATTAGCCAAAGAGTCGAGTAATCAATTGATCGTTTCGCTTGCCTCCAAAATAATTCCCATAGATAATTGATTACCGTTTATTAAATACAGAATTAGAAAATAATTTGACCTAGGTCTAAAAAAAAGAGAATACAATTTGCAAAAGCATTTATTTAATTATACACGTATTATAAGAAAAAAATTGTATAAAATATATACAATTAAAAACATATATATATATATATATATATATATATATATATATATATAATTTAATATAAATTCGTACAATAATACTATTATAAAAGTCACTACACCCATTAATTCAGAAATTAAAAACTTTCATAAATTATTTAAGATAAATCATTTTATATGAGTAATCCATTATTATCATCTCGTCCACCTATATGCACATGCACATGCACATGCAGCTATATGTGTGCCCTATTCGATCTATCGTTTGTTTATGATGCAATTAATTCATTTAATTAAAAGTAAAAAAAAACGGTCTTGCATAATTGCGACTAATAAATATTTTCGTCATGGATGAACAAACAGAGCTCGTCGACGTAGCTCGCCGTTGTTTTCGTGCCATCGGCGATTCGCGGGTGAAACGCACCAGCCTCTGTTCCGCACAACCGCGTCGCTTCTAGTCGCTATCGCTCGCCTCTCTCTCTCTCGTATTGCTTGTAATTTAGTAATGAATACGTACGTACAACGCACGTGAAGTGGTGGGCCGCTGATATGTAGACGCGTAACATCTGGCGGCCTATGAAATGCAGGCACAGCCAAACGAACGGCCTGCAGCTGAACGTTACGACCGACGAGAGTTATGAGCCCCGACTCAATCTCCGGGGCCCACGCCCCGATATAATTGCGATATACTAAAAGCCCCGACAAAGCAAGCTTCGGAAATGAGTAAATCGTGCGATTTTCCCACGCGAATCGAATATCAAGAACGACCGGCGTGATCGTCGGAAGGAAACTCTGTGACAGCACTGAATTTTTGCCGGAAAAATAAAAGAGATGGAGGAATTTTTTTTTTTTTTTTTAATAAAAAAGAAAATTATTGCAATACTAAATAATACACGGAGAGAATTTTTTGTTATATTTGACCGTGATATTCGCTCCAAATTTTATCATGTTTGATAATAAGCTGAAAATTACTATGCTGCATGTTAAAATTATTATGAACGATTAAGCTGGGATTGAAAGTATGCTGCATTATAAAATTTATATAAAATATTTTATATCAAGTTTTATCATTTTTAAGTTAAAAAGTTTATCACTTTTTTGGTATCTCTGTTCTACTTACACTTAAAGAATTATAAGTTTTTAATATATTTTTAAATCATTGAAATTTTACTATATATTTTAGTAAAATTAATCAACATATTTTGTTTTATTGTGATCAATTGTATTTTTTATCGTGATAAAGATTAAAAATTTTTATAAAAATTCTTTCAATTATATCGTCCTACAATTGCCATGAATTTCAAGATAAATTCTAAGAGAAAATTCTTTCTGTGTAATAACTCTTTTTTAAACATAAAACTCTTCTTTTTCGTACAAAGGGTATTTCGCACTTTTATTTGAAAAAATTTTTCGTTCTAAAAAAAAAAGCTGTTCTCATAAGTGCTCCGTGAACTTTTAGCTATTGCTTTATGCACGTGTTGATTTTTGTAGAAATTTTAACACACACTTCATGCAAATTTTTTATGTTATTCAATATAATAAATTGCAATACATATGATACATATGATATATATCTACGTCACGATATCAAATATAAAATCGATTTAGCATGTTAAATCACACTTAAGCAATCTTTCGCTTGTGTCGTTCATCCGTATGAATATAATTAAATATAATTGAAAAAAAAAATCGCGCGTTTAAAGTAAATACAATCACTTGTCATTTATGATTCATTTATTTGCGATATATCCGATACACGTTTTGCTATGCACAGAAAAATCAAATGAGTCGCGGCATGACGTAAACATTGTAACATATGCATTTCCGCGCAGTGCGTAAAACCAACCATAGTAAGCAAACACACGCATACATATATCGTAACCATTACGTTACTATTACCTTAATTGAGGTACTGCAACGATCGTTTGGCATTCCATTTCGCACTCCCGATGCGTGATTACTGTGCGTTTTGCACCGTTCGTAAAACAAATATAAGTAACATGAAATATTGCAGAAATCACTTCATTAAAATCGTCGAACCAATCGAATGGGATATTTATACAAAAATAGCAATATGTCTCGCAATATATTTATCGATATACACGAAACAGAAAATTTCATCATTACAGAAACATTTCCATATCATACGAGTTGCGCATTTAGTGGAAAACAGTATTATAAATAATATGAAGCTTCTGCTAAGTGTTTTTTCTTTACGTATGTGATCTGTTGTCATATTTTTTCGATTATTAAATAAATTTAAATTCTCTACATTGACAGCTTAGAAAAAAAAGTTAATTGTTATTATAAAAAAGGATGAAATCAGGATTGAAATAATACTCAAATATTGAGATATATGTATATAAATATTTATGTGTATATGTTTATATACATAATTCAGTACACTTTATACTTATAATGTCTATTTACGGTAAATCAAAGATTTGTTTTTTCGATATATTTTTTTTATTCGGATATTTTTACTATCCTCGATTGCAGTTTTCCCAGCAAAGAAAGGAAGACATAATAGCCAATAATTAATTTGACAATATCTTGATTTTATTTTAAAAAATCGGCTATTACTTTAGAGAGAGAGAAAGAGAAAGAGAGAGAGAGAGAGAAAGAGAAAGAGAGAGATAGACGAATGTAGACTATTACAAAAAAAACTAAAAAAAACTGCGAGGTGAAAATAAAGGCGAATTTTCCGGAAAACGCAATTTTTCTGATCAAATACTTTTTTTAGCGGCTGTGTTTTCTCGTTATTCGTTTAAAAATTCCAACGAGTGCAGAACTTTTATCTTTTCGGCGCATCTCTGTTTAAAGTTTTAGATGAATTGTCAGCGGTTCTTTTTCGCGGAATTTAATGATTAACCGAAGTTGGCATTCAACCAACAATAAACACTCCGTTCAAAAATAGATACTGCTGCAGTAAAAAATTATTTATCGACTTAGAATAGATCTTGATATATAAACAATAACAATCTTTTTTTATTACAACTCTTGTTATATAAGTACAGAATAATTATTAAATTTTATATTGGAGAAGGGAAATATATTCAAATTTTAAATAACAAACAAAAGATGAAAAAGAAAAATTGATATATATTGCAACAGCATCTATTTTTGTGATGTATATATACATTTAATTATATAGGTATAGTGTTTTAAACATTTAAATAGACATTTTAGTGATATTTATATTTTTGTTAATTTTGTATTTCATCTAGAAATTGAAATCTAAAAAAAATTAATTTTTAAAACTCGATTTGTATTTTAAGTGTATTTTAAACCTCTCATGAATTATATGTTCGTATAAAATACAACGATCATTATTCAAATTGTATGTCCGCACAAATTTTATATAATTATGCTTGATTCCTACCTTACGAGCAAATGTTCTTAGATAACCGCGCTTAGATTAAGATCCTTTTGTCGACCTTTTTGGATCTGCAGATGATTCTCGTTTACTGAGTCCCGTTTCTGAAACAATAAGATGAAATTTTAATAAAAACGATTACTATATTTGTATATTAATATTTGTTGAGATATTTTTCTCTTGAAAACTTTTACATAAGAAACCATTTTATTTTTATTTATATTACTTAAATTATGCCTTATTTTAAATTAATCACCATTTGCAATGGCAGCCACATCATCTGCATCTAATGTCTCATACTGTAATAACGCTTCTGCTAGTTGTTTGTGTTCCTTTGCGTGTGTTTTCAAAATTGATTTTGCACGTTCAAATGATTCCTGTAAGATGAAATACAAATTAGCAAATTATAAATAAAAAGACTGATGTAACCAATAATTTTTTTTCTTGTTTCAGTAATTAACATTATTGTATCATATTTAATTTTTTTTTATACAAATTGATTTCTCATATTTAATGCAAGTTTGAATTTACCTGTAAAATTCGCTTTACTTCATTGTCAATAATTTCATTCGTGCTTGGCGCGTATGAGGTGCCATTACCGAATAGCTTCTTATTCTCTATTATTGATCTAAATCCCACTTTTTCTGACATACCATAATTTTTTACCATCAATTCTGCTATTTTGTTGCCTCCTGTAAAAAAAATTAAAATGTTCATATTTACATGTCACTGTATTTTAACTTAATTTATAATATTCCTAAATATTTTTTTGTTACAAAAATAAATAAAAGTTTTTATCAGTATAGTAATTTACACAATATGCAATAACATTTAAAAATCAGTAAATCATTTCTAATAAATTTAAAAGTTATACTTAGTGATCATAAGTAATAATATTTAATCATAAGTAATAATATTTAAAAATTGAAATTGTTAGAAAATATAAAATTTAGAAAATTACAAAACTATACCACTAAATCAGAAGAAGCTCCAGTTGTCACTTTTTCTGGACCAAATATCAGTTCCTCTGCAGCTCTGCCACCCATCATGGAATCCATATTAGCTAATAATTGTGACTTGGTAATATGATAAACGTCCTTTTCATGCATATATGAAGTCTGAAATAAGTATAGTTTGTAAATTACAAATTCGAGAATAAGTACATACATAGACACAATTTAATATAAAAAATTCTAAACTTATTATGTACATAATTATAAGTAATTTCAAGTATTATTGACATAAAAATAATAATAGTTATAAATTATTTATTAAATCAATTATTATTATTATAATTATTATAAATTAAATTAATGTGATAATAATTATAATAATTGATAAATAACTTAAATAATTAAGTAATTACATACATGACCTAACGATGGTCCTCTTGGAACAATAGTAACTTTATGAAGTGGTGTAGCATCCTTAGTATAGAATGCTACTAGCGCATGTCCAGCTTCATGATATGCTGTGATTCGATTGACTTCCTCATCACGTAACTTCAGCTTGCCTTCAGGACCCATCAATACTTTGTCTCTAGCATACTCTAAATGTTTCATAGTGACGCAATCCGCCTCATCAATCGCTGCGCGCAGTGCGGCTTGATTTATCTGCATAATTATTTTGCACAATTATTTTTACATTGCATTATAAAATCCGAAAATAAAAATCAACAATCTTTTATAATAACGCATCTAAATTACTATGAAATGATATTTCTTACCATATTTTCAAGATCAGCTCCGGTAAATCCGGTAGTACAACGTGCCAGGTAAACTGTATCAACATCATGTGTTAATATTCTTGATAAGTAGAGATCTAGTATCTCCTTGCGGCCAAAGTAGTCGGGTTTATTAACATAAATTTCAACATCGAAACGGCCTGGACGCATTAATGCTTTATCAAGATCCTTGCGTCTATTTGTAGCACCAAGAACTATGACACCTTCATTTTGACGGAAGCTAAAAAAATCACCATTTTTTTTTAATCGAATAGCTTTGAATTAAATTTGTGAGATTTTGGAGATACTTTGTACATATTGATAATGTATGACTCTTTAAAAAGACTAAACTCCAAAAACTATATTATGCAATTACATTCTATATCAATTAATTTATAAACTCACCCATCCATTTCGGAAAGTAACTGATTAATAGTCTGATTTGCATAAGGATGGAGAACCGAGTTGGTTCTTTTTGCACCCACGGAATCGATCTCGTCAATAAAAACTACACATGGCGCTTTTTCTTTTGCAGCCCCTGAAAAATCACACGAAAAGTTAGCATAATTTCGATTACTTTAGGATTACAATTAAATAATTATTTTTTCTTGTTTTAATAGAATTGGTGTTCTCGTCCACGTGGTTTTTACTTACTAAACAAATCTCTAACACGTCGAGCGCCTTGACCAACTAGGATCTCGTCGAATTCAGGACCTGCCACATGGAAGAACGGTACACCGGCTTCTCCAGCGACTGCGCGAGCTAATAATGTCTTTCCTGTGCCTGGCGGACCGACCAACAGCACACCTTTGGGCAACTTTCCGCCAAGAGCAGAAAATTTGTCGGGGTTTTTCAAGAATTCCACTACATTCAGAAGCTCCTGCTTTGCCTCATCCACCTGTAAGTTTTACGAATATTTAGGAAATTTATAAATTTATATATATATATTAAATCAGTAATAAGTTAAAATTGGGGATTAGATTCATTTAATATTATAATGATAGAAGTAAATATTTTCGAAAAAATGTTTTCTGCTTACCCCTTTAACATCATTGAAAGTGACATGGATGTCCTCGGGATCGATCTCAATTCTGTGACTCATAGGAAGCTTAAATATTCCTCCTCCTGGATAATTAACTATATAACATAATGGTTTTTATTAATAATATAAGTAATTTAGTTAATACATAAAGAATAACTTTAAACACAATAAAAGTAATGTCTATTTTTATACGTACGATAAAGTAAAATTAGAAGGATAATTGTAGAGACAGCTATTATATTTTGCACGATTTTGAATAACATTGTTCGACCTCGCATCTGCCGTTGCAATCCGGATTCGTATCCTTCCACAAAAGCCATTTTTATTCTCTTCTGCTCATCTACTGTTGCATCAGTATTGTTAAAGATCTGTTTTAATTTTTCAAAGTCCGAACTTTTTGGTTCATGTACCAAGCTCTACAACAGTAAAAGAAAATCCATTAGAAAATCAGATAATTTATTTCACTGTGTGCTCTTTTATAATCACATTTAAATTAGAGCACTTTTAATTATTATATTCAGATTGAATGAGTAAAATATAAGTATGTCGTACCACATTAAGATTAGAAGATAGACCGAACCATTTTTTTATTCTACTCATGAATGTTGGACTTTGCTCAAGTTCCATTTTTATACTGCGTTGAGATTTGAACGTACGAATTGGCATATGATTTTGTAGCACTTTGGCATACCAAGTGTGTAACAGTCTGTGTTGTTGTTTTGATGTTAGATGAATGACTGGTAGAATACTGGACTCTGTCAACAAGGAGCACAGGAAGCCACGTTTGTTGTCAGCAAAACTTAGGCCAGATATATAAGACACTTTCCACTTATTTTCTTCCAAAGATCTTCTAAATACATTGATACCTAGATCATCTAACATCACACACACCTTATTGTTCTTCATTGTTAATGCATTTGAAACATTTAAATTCATTTCCAGTAGTTCAGTACAATTTTTTGCCGCCTAAAACAAGTCAAAAATTCCACTTATATATACAATTTAGCATACAAAAATAAGAATAAAATTATGATTTTGATATATCTATTGTAATCATATGATTCATTTCTTAATATACTTCAGTTATATATTTAAAGCAAAATAGATAGTTTATCTATAAAAATACCTCCTCGAGACTATCTTGGCAAATTGCCATCTCCTCTGTTTTATTCTTTTGCAAGGATTCATCCTGTTTCTTAACTTGGACTGAATATGAAGTTGTCCTAGGAGTGACGGCTAATGTTAGCTGCGTTAAATGGTATAAAACCTAAGAATAAGATATAAAAAAATAGAATTATTAGAATATCCATGTCACACTTCATAACTTAAAAGAAAAACAACCCTCTTCTCATTTATTCTTATTAAATTCTTAATCTTCTAACAACAATTACTTATAAATACGATAAACTGGAATTTTGAACTTTGTACTTTTACACAAAAGTAAAATTTCAAGTAAATTAAACCTTTCCAATGTGTTAACATCATATTCTTTCATATTAATTATTATAGAAATTATGAAACAAATACATATTTTAATTATAGGGCACTTCTTGTTCACTTGCATTCGCAGAAACATTTTCAAATGTCAGATAAAAGTTAAAACAGATCTAGAGCGAAAATTCATTTAACGACTTATTTGACAGTGACTCAAATATTATATTTGTCCATTGTTCAAGGTCAGAATAAGTTATATATTTACATATAAAGTGCACAAAGGGCATAGAAGAACACTGTGACAAAACTGATGCAATTGTGAGATATTGAGTGACAGAGCAAACCTGATTGTGAGATTGAAGAGATATCATAATCTCGGGTACTTCTCAAGAAAAAATCGTGTGGATTTGCAGAAATCGGAGACGATCGAAGAACGATCGTAAATGGAAAATCAGGCAGTGACGGATCTCGACGTAAAAAAACGATCGATCATGTGTCCGGATCGGTCCACGCGAGTGCTCCACCGCGAACAGAATTTTTGGTCACGGAATTTTTTTTTATAACTATATAGTCACGTGACTAATCACACTTGGCAATTTATTGAAACATTGAGTAATTATTTTAATGCCGACTGTGTTTTGAATGCGGAGCCAATTGATGGTTAGCCGTCAAAGGCACGAACTCGATAATTCATCGAGACACGGATCATTCATTTCTATTCGTGTTGCGATTTAAGCGCCATCTTATGCGTAGAACTACGAACTATGAGCTCGAAATCTAGGGAATTTTTTATAGCCACGAAACCGATAAGAGCATTTGTGCATCAAAATGAACACAGTAAATGTTTACAATTTAATAATTAATTAATTATTTATATATTTATTATAATTAATATTTGTTATAATTATACATTTATTATTTAATACAATTAATATAATTGAATTAATAATTTGATATAGGATTAGATATAAGAGATTTGCTCCGTTTGACGTAACGAAATTTGACGTTTGGTTTGACAGGTCGGAGATTCCCCGGCCTCGGATTGGTCGATTCCGGGCTTCGCGACCTCGCTCTTGAAATGCGTAGGCTCCGAGGTCGAGCATGAGGAAGGCTAGAGACAGAGCGTCGTCGGTGGGGACGTTCGTTTACTTCGGTGCGAAGAAGCTCGGGCTCGGAAGAAGAAAAGCGATTCGGGGGAGGCCAGCCGGCGCGCGTCAACGGGCAGTTTGACATTCGGCCGGAAGTCGCGCACATATGTTTCCTCCGTCGTCGCCGCCGCGGCTTAGGCGCGGTTGCGCAGTCGACTTGCATCTCGCACCCGAGGAATATGTCGACCGGCCGAGGAGCGGCGGAGTGATGCACGATACGTCGACGAAGGCCGTTATCATGACCGCCATCGTGGCGATTTCCTTCAGTTGAGCACGCTGCCAGGTCGATTCGCGACGAGAAACCGCGCAGTTCTCTCCCCGTGGGAGACGAAGAAGGAGGAGGAAAAAGAGAAGGCGCACGAGACACCGAGAAAGAGAGAGAGAGCACCGCGCCAGATCGCCGTGTGCCGCCGTACCGTATCGTATCGTAACCGATTTGGGGCAGGGGGAACCTGGGGAGCTAGGGGGCCAGGCAGATCGTGTGCGGGGATCGTGCGAAGCGGAGGAGCGCGAGGGCCTTATGTCAAGTCGACGACGAGGACGGAGCGCGCAAACATGAAGAAACTATTCTCCAAAATCGACAACACGTCGAAGGAGCCTAACAGTTATCTGGGGAAGGTGTTCGTCGTGGGCTGCCACACGGTCACCGTCGAGGAGGTCCTGGCGGAAGGTGTGTATATATATATATATATATATATATATATAACAATATATATGTATGTATGTGTGTGTGTGTGTGTGTGTGCACGACATGATTGCTCCGCCTGATTAATATCCGCGTCATTTTCTTCTCTCCGAAGGAGCGCGGACTATTATTATTTTACGTCTCGCTTTTCGCGATCCCGCCTTTTTTTTTTACTCCGAATTATCCGCATGAAAATCGTCGGGATGCGGAAAGCGAGATAGCGACAGTGATATGGGACAGTCGGTAAACATTATTAAGCTCATTAGCTCTAATCTAGGAATTTGATGTGTGCTGACTGTAAAATAGATTTTATACGCCGCGAGGAGTCGAATTTAGAAAGTTTCACCTTCGTCACGTCGGCATGAGAATGATTGATTATTATTTTTTAAACGTAGCTTTGTGTGCGAAATTCTCTCTCGATTTTGTTTAAAAATATTATCCACATTGTGTTGCAGAGTGGTAGACGATGGAGTTTTGCCTTATGTATATATATATTAGAGTGTGGTGCAGAGAAATTGATGATTGTCCAATCAACGGTCGTTATTTCGAGAGATAAAAGTGCGAACGCTAAAATCCATTTATTACCGTTGGCTTTTACTGATTAGTGTCTGTTGTAATTGTATCTGCATCAAGTTACATGTTTCATGATGATGTCAGTTTTTATATACACTTTTTATCTCAATCTGTGCTTTGACAATCATGCATTTGAATGTAAATGATTGATGATCAAATATAAAGTATGTCCAATAACTAAAATAATTTGCAGTGTGATAAATATTTTCTCTTTTACACTACATCCTCACTTTACATCGTGCAATTATCTTATCTTACAGGAGGATTTGCAATTGTATTTTTGGTCAAAGCCTCAGGTGGACGATATGCGCTTAAACGGATGTATGTCAACAATGAACATGATCTCAATGTATGCAAAAGGGAGATACAAATTGCCGTGAGTACTAGCACATATATTGTATATGTATATAAATAAAATAAAATGTTAGTAATGTAAATCTTCTTTTACATTATATATATGAAAATGTATAATATTCTGTTTTTAAGAGTTACAAAAATATTGAATGAAATCTTTTATTTCTAGAGCAACTTGAGTGGTCATAAAAATATCATAGGATATGTAGATAGTAGTATAACTCATACTGGCAAAGGAGTACATGAACTTCTGCTTTTAATGCCTTATTGTAAATCCCAAGTTCTTCAAATGATGAACAACAGGTTAGGAGCGATATAATACTTTTATTACACTATTTCTTTTTATTATTATATTCAGATGACATATAATATTTATTAACGTAACATCTTTTATATCTAAAGTATATTTCTATGTGCAAAATTGTAAAATATTATACATCCATCGATCACTGTGGACTGAATATATTGTGAAAATTTATGGCATGCATTAACATCTTATTTTCCAGGTTGCAAACAGGTTTCAGTGAATCGGAAGTTTTACAAATTTTTTGCGACGTTTGTGAAGCCGTGTCTCGGTTGCATCATTGTCAAACTCCCATAATTCATAGAGATCTCAAGGTGAACTATTTAATGAACGTTATATAACGCTATCATCTGTTGTACTATATACTGAATTGTTATTTAATTGACTGGCGATAGGTGGAAAATATACTGCTCGCTGACAGCGGTCATTATGTTCTATGTGATTTCGGATCCGCGACGGGGAAGGTTCTTAATCCCAGCGTCCACGGTGCCGCAGTAGTTGAGGAGGAGATCAAGAAATATACCACATTAAGTTATAGAGCACCCGAAATGGTTGATATGTACTGCGGAAAACCTATCACTACGAAGGCGGACATATGGGTAGCTTATATTGTCTATCTCGTTTAAATATCACTTATATAATACTATTTATCATATTGCCTTATTATAATGTAAATTAAAAATAAACCTAAACGAGTGTTTGACGATTCTCTTTCAGGCTTTAGGATGTCTGCTGTATAAACTTTGTTTTTTCACACTACCGTTTGGCGAAAGCACACTTGCTATACAATCTGGAAATTTCACTATACCGGATAATTCAAGGTACGTGAAAAATTACACAACTTTTAATATAAAAATTTTATCAATTTTTAACTAAATGATAAAAATATAATATATGAATCGTGTAGTACTATATATAATATATGTGTGTATATTAAGAAAATGGATTTATTTTTATAAATGTATATATTATATGTATCAATATATATTATATATAAAATATATATATATATGCATATATAATAGAGAGACATATAAAACAATAAATAATTTTCATGTTGCAGATATAGCAAGGCCCTCCATTGTTTGATTCGGTATATGCTTGAGCCAGACCCCGATCTACGTCCTGACATTTATCAAGTTTCTGTGATTGCTTTTCAAATTCAGGGTAAAGAGAGCCCTGTGCAGAATTTACATGTACGTGAGTCACAATATTTTTAATTTATACACTGTAAAAAAAATTTGTTAACTTGACTAAACCTTTTAACTAAATATTATTTTGTTAATTGAACATATAACAATATTTAAATTAAATGTAATATATTAATATAGTGATTTAGTGGAAAGATTTAGTCAAGTTAACAATTTTTTTACAGTATAAATAATAATTAATATAAATATTTTTAAAATACTAATTAATATTTATATAAATAAATTATATACACGTATAATTAAAAATAAATAATTTATAATTTATTTAAATAAATTTTATAAATTTTACATCATATAATTTTATGTACTAAATTTTATTTTATAATTTATAATAATTTTTCATTTTTATTCTTATAGAAAGTCCCTACGCCGACGATAGAGTCATTACCGTGTCCGCTCATGGAATCTGAGAATATTAAGAGATCGGCATCTGTCAAAACTCCAAAGCCTGTACCTATAGCGACGACGGTCGAGGGCACATCTGTGACTCCGAGACAGAGACCGAAGGGACAAGCTGTTAGCACGGGACCGATCAGTTTGAGCGGTCAAATTGTAGGGCAGATATCAGGCCAAGGAAATCAGACCGGGCAAAATACACCGGGAAATTCTATCTCTTATGTTCAGGTAAAATTATAATGATAATTAAATGTAATATAATTTATCTCAATTATAATTCTCGATTACATGTCTCCCGATAACGTGAAATGTACAGAAACGTTTAGATATTTTTTGTCGACTTGTGCGATCTTTAATATAATTATTCTGTCTTATGTCAGGTATCGCCGCACGTCTGCACCCCTAATCAGAATGTTCCTTTTGGCCAGCCATCGCAAGGACAACCATCTCAGAGCCCGATGATCAGTCATTCTCCTCTGACTCAACAGTCACCTGTTACTGTTCAGGATAAGAATGCATTCTATTTTGATTCGCGGCAACACGATGCGAGGCCAAATGTCAATGAGAAAAATTTGGAGGCTCTATTTCCATCATCAGGTACATAGGTCTGAGTTATAAACAAAGAGCAAAAAGTAAAGATGATTAAGTAGCTTTTTTTAACACATTGTTATCTTCTACAGGGTATCCGGATCCGTTCAAAGACGATGCGGCGGCGATGCCGCCACCTACCAAAATTCCACCTCCCGTTGCTCCTAAACCTGGCAAAATCCTCCCAAAACTATCTAATCCTAGTTACCCGTCATCGTCCAAATATCCGCCTGTCGCTTCACTACCGTCGAAATTGTCGATTTCAACGGGGCCTAATAAAGCAACTCCACCGACGCAACTGACACCGCCAGCTTTACCAAAACCGGTTAATAAAACGGAAAGCTTAAGTCAAAATATAAGCTCGAGCATATCTCCTCCTGACAGTCCGACATTGTCGTCCTCTCGGCACAGGAGAAACGTCAGCGATACAAGTGCTTTTAATAAGTAAGTAAGCCTATTTTGCTATCAAAATAAAATATGTATTTTACTACTAGGTATATAATATTTACGCGCTATATATGAATTATATATATTTTTTGTTTTTTTAATTATATATATTTTTAAATTTATTTTATATATACATATATATATACTTTTATAATATATATTTATTTACTTTTTATATCACATCACATTTTATATCATTATATCATTACAAATTCAACTAAGAAACAGGTTAACAAGAGCCAAACGCAGAAATTAAGTACAACAAACTCATTTTTAAATTCTTCTTTATTTTGCAAATTAATTAAATTTAAAAATAAGTTTGTTATGCCTAATTTTTTATCTGACTTTATATATCAGAGCTTTTTAGTTATATTTTTATATTTGCAACTTTTATAAAAATTTGCAGCAATTAGGAAATCGATGAACTTTTTTTAAATTAATATTGAAAAAGAGTTTTGAGAAATTTATTTATACTTATATTTTTACTTCCAAAAATTTTTTTTGTTTTTGTTTTGTCAAAATCTTTTTATTTATATTACAGTGGCCATTTCGATGTTCACAGAGCGTTTGCAACTGAAACCAATCAATTCTTAGCTCCATACGAGGCTTCTGTTAAGCCGCGTTCCGATGATGCGGCTACACCTCCCGAACTTCCGAGTGATACAAGGCCTTGTATAGCAACTAGTGCCTCGCATGTACGTGTTGTAAGTACACGAAGCGCACAGTTTTATTTTTATTTTTGTTAAATGATTTCAATTTCCGCTTGAATCATATTTATTTTGTATTTTAATTTGCCCCTATTTGCTATAATCTAAAATTATATTTTATTTTATGCAAGAAATGTAACGAGAAAGAAAAAAGTCTAAACCTCGAATAGTGATCTAGCACAAAAGAAAAATAATTTTTTCTTAGCAAAATTATCGCATAAATATGAAATATAAAATATTTAGTTTTATGAAATATTTAATTTTATTTCTAGATATATTTAGAATTTAGTTTTTATATGTTTATAATTATATTTTGTTTTTATGCACTGCATCATCTCATTAACGATACTCTTACAGTCTCCAAGTAAATTCGAAAATATTTGAGTTAATACTTAAAAAACTTGCACCTTTATCAGGGCGAACTTTCGAGCCTAATGGGATCGGAAGGACGATCATTGAGTGCGGATGTGGCCGCGTGGAATCCATTTGAAGACGTACAACCTTTTAATCAGTTAACGGAAGATCACATTTTCGGTGCTGAATTTGACAAAATAAGAAGAGGGAGCAATACAAGTATCAGCGGAGTAAAAAGTCGCGAAAGTCTCGTTATGACATATACAGAATTACCAGAGGATCCCTTTGAATCTGCGCCCTTTAGCCTGCCAAGTAAGTGCTCATTAAGATTCTAGTTATTAGTCCAGGGTGTATACTCTCAGGAAAAACCTTGAAAACCTGGTATTCTCAGGGAATTTTGTTTTACTTTGAAAACTCAGGAAATTCTCATGCAATTTGATTAAGATTCAGGGAAATTTTTAAAAATTGCCCTTTGATAATTTTACTCTTATTTAGCACTTAAAGAATATATGTTTAACATATTGCATTTGCAATATTTAAATTTGAGTAGACACCCTGTAGTCAAAATTAATACAAACATGAAATTTAATAATACAAGACTGAAGTGTATCTGTGTATTGACGTTCTAATTATTTCTTTAAGCAGGAAAGAAGAATAAAATGGGGTCAAAGACTGCTGCTATCGCTGGAGGTAATGCATAAAATCCTTCTTACATTGTCCTTATTACCATTTCTCTTCCACTGCTCCTATATTAATCTATTAATCTATCTTGATTTAAAAGTCGCTACTTTAATACTTGGTTTCTTACTTTTTGCCAAATCATCGCTATACGAGATTTGAAGCTGTAGTTATAACCATTGTCTTTCGTCGTTTTCAACGAGTCTCAGCAATGTATACCAAAGAACTTCGTCAGTGAGAATTTAGCTTATCAAATGATAAGTTTTGAAAAAAACTGCTCATTTAAAAAGAAATAAGAAATGAGATTGATTTACTATTGTCTTTTGTACATATTGTTGAATATATTATAGAGTTTTTTTATAAATTGGATGTATAGTATATATATTTACCTTTTATATTGAGATAAGCTTTAGACTGATATAAATATTGTAATTAAATTAATCATATAATTAATTATTGATTATATTTAACTTACTGGGTGTCGCCAAATTGTTTTATAAAAAAAACGTGCTAGAAGTAATCTTGGTATACAACTGAGACCGTTTTTAAAAGAAAAAAATAACACCAGTTTACCCCTAGCTTTATATATAAGAGATAAGTACGAAAATTTTCTTAGAAAGATTAAATGTATTATACAAGTATGGATTTATGGAAATCACATTTTTTATTTAATGAGATTGAATTTGATTATTGTTTATTTTAATCGCATAATATTACATTTACTTTTTTAGTTTAATTTCATGACAAAATTATTCTTAGGATTCTATATTACGATTGTAAGATATTCTCTTGTAGAATTATGAGACTCATGAAAATTATAAGACATTCAGCACAGTTTACATGCATTTTCGAAATGTAATAATGCAGAAATGTGGGTCAATAAGAAATGTAAGGAACGTTTCATTCAATATTAGGTAAAAGTATCTTTAAAATTAAAAAGTAATCTCTATTTCAATATTTCCATTTTTTTCTTTTTTCAAATTGCATTATTTTGATTGGTGCCACAATAACCATCGAATAGGATTGTGTACAAATAACAGTGTATTTACATACAATGTTTGTGGACAATAGCTGTAGATAAATGCTGAAAATAATACTGTCAGCATGTTATATGCTTTTGTGCACTTTCATGTACATAAAAGAAGATCTTAATTTTTATATAGAGACGGTTGAGTAACGTGATGAGAGGAATATAGTATTTCAACGTATTATGTAAAATACCGGTGTTTCTTCTCCCGATTTAATTAGTATTACAATGCAAAACTTGATATTTGTGATACAATACATAATCACGTACGGCTGATAATGTTGGTCATATCATCGCATCGTTCTGTTAAATTTAATTAAAGAGACAAATTCCTTTTTAAAATCATGTTTATCTAAATAGATTAATTAATGGGATTCTCTATACTACGATTGATCAAATTTACCAAAGATGTGTGATAAGTTACAATGTTTAAACGTTGCTACTTGTACAAAAAAATAAAAGTAAAGAATGCTCTTTGTTTAATCGATAATTTTAAAAATATATTATATTATGCTTGTTAATTTGATATATATATATATATATATATATATATATATATATATGTATATAAATCATATCTATTAATTATATAATAGAGCAGACAATTGATGAAGAGAAATGTAATCTACGAACAATTATGAAATAGATTTGAAAGACATTATTTTTTTATTCATATATATGCCTATAATATTACTTACAAAAGATTGTGTGATCACATTTAAACTTATTGTTAATCTAAATTTTTAGTTTTGTTTATTAAAGTACGTTTATTAAGATTGTGTTCATAAATATCATGGGATATTTTTGTTTATAAATATTGCAAAATGTTTAAGACAATTTTTTTCGATAAAGCTATAATTGAAACTTTATTTTTTAGTTTATCTGCGAGAAAGTGATTGTGATGCTCAGTTATGCTCAATTACGCGAAAGGAATGGTAAATTACATTTTACCAGTAAATTACATATATTAACTTCTACTTACCTCAAATAGGAAGTTACAACGTAAGGCTAATACATCGAATATTAGATTTGAAATATGATATATATATATTGATTATTATGTTATGACAATTATTGAATATTGTTGAAATTATGACGAAGCATATTATGACAAGAAATTTTGTCTTCAACTTTATAATAGATGTTCCTACAGTACATATGTAGCGCACAAAGTGCAGGATTAGCTTTTATTTTTAGTGTTTTCGTACGAAATAAAGTTGATGTATCGATAGAAGAAAGGAACAAAATTACGTATAAATATACACACATAAATATAAATGAACAAATATATATATATATATATATATAAATTGAAAAATTATGTTATATATTATGTAATATACACAAAGTTTCGGTACACTATTTTGTCCTACTCAAATGCATATATATATATATATATATATATATATATATATATATATATATATATATATATATACACATATACATATATACATTTACATGTATATAATGTGTGTATATATGTATGTGCTTACATACGTGCAAACGTATATTATGTGTGCTATAATGATTATATTATATAGCATAAAAAGGTGAGAAGAATAGGTTTCAAGTATTTCCAACACGATGCGATTAATATAACTCAAGGGTCGCGTGTAAGTTTAGAGAACATTAATGATTTATTTTTTGGTAAATATGGAGTACGCAGACCTTTCCTTCTCACAAAACAATTCCTCTCGCAATGCGTAAACACATGTGATATATATATATATATATATATATATATATATACAGGATGTTGAAAAAAACGATAAATATTTTAAGGGTATTTTTAGTCTTAAAATGAGTTAAAAAGTCTTAATGAGCAAATGAGCCATTTTTGAGATATCTTGCAATATATCTCATATAATTTAATTTACCTTGTATTTACATTACTAAAATAATAAAAAAATAAGATTAATAGTAAAAATAAAAATTTAAAACAAAAATAAAAAAGTAACTATATAAAAAAAAATAAAAATATTTCGAAAAGGGTTTTACCACGGGTTTAAACGTACGGACTCTAATATTTATTAAGACTTTTTGACTTGTTTTTGGACATACTACATTCCCTTAAAATATTTTATTCTTTTTCACCACTCCGTATATAAGACATGTGCATAAAAGGATTATTATATATAAAAATCGCAAGATTGTATCCTGCGCGATGGTAATACTACAGTGACTGGCAAATAATTATTTTTTTTTATTTCTCAATCTTCTCCTTATCCTCACTTCTTTTACTTTGACTCTTTCTTCTTTTCCTTTCTCTCTCTTTCTCTCTCTCTCTCTCTGTTTTTTGTTCATCCCTTATAGCATTTCATTTTACACCGCTTTCACACGGCGTTTGCTAATTTGTGGGTTTCTCTTTGATATAACTAACATTTCTCTGTTTATATTTTTTTGGCTCGCATCACAAATCTTAAGATAAAATGATGTAATTTTAACTTCTTAAAGTAATTAATAAAAATCTCTGTAATATTCGTAGAAGTAATCGAAAAATTACATCATTTTATCTTATTGAAAAATGTAAAAAAAATCACGATTTCTGTATTGTGTTTTTCTTTCGCATATTTGTCTCAAATACTTGTCACGTGTGCGTTAATTATTTGTATCGGAAACATATCTTACGATGTAAAGAATATTGTAGGCATTATTGAACATTGTACATACTTGTTATATAATTGTTATTCCTTTTAATGGAATTTTCATATAGGAAGCGAAGTAATCATTTAGATATAAAGGCACAGATTGATAATTTATCTGTTGTTCTTTTTTTTCTTTTTAAAATTTCATCGCAGATTTAATTTTGTACAATGTATAAAGTGAAGCGAAATCAGAATGTCTTCTTCAGTAGCACTAGTAGTATTACCACAGAAATATTACCGCCGTAATATATTATTATTTCATCTTCCTGAACATGTAATAAGTATCATAAAGTGTTCAGGGAATGTGTCAAAAGGCGGAGACAATTGACGATAAATGTGCTTATTTCTCTGTGAGAGAAAAAAAAATTACGAACAATTATACTTATCAGTCCAATGTCTGGAACAACCTAATGAGTTTGGGAGGCATATAGAGATTAGGTTTCATTTTGAACCACTTACGTTTAAGGAATCTTCTTTCTTTGTATCTCTAGTCCTGCTTTGTTTGCCTCCCATGGTGTCTCTAATAATAATAATAATAAAATAATAATAATAATAATGTGTGCCATCTCGAATTTTTTTTTTAATTATACGGCGAGTTAAGTTGCGACGTATCGTGAAAAAGAAACTTGTTATCTATTCGTCATCGTCGAACGTATAAGCATGCTTTTCTCCTTGTGGCCTCTGTAGCGATACTTATATGAAAATGAGAGAAATAATTTTGAATCTCAAGAGAGAGAGAGAGAGAGAGAGCACTATAGGGGGCTGACAAATCTATCTTGGACAGTACATCTTTCTCTCGGCTGTATTAAGACAAATAATGTTGCAGCAATAAAAATGTAAATTAGCATACGGAGTATTTGTTTCTTCTAAATGCTACTCTGTGGCACAGTAAAACGCAGCAATACTTTGTTTCCCCACGCACGAATGAATATAATATCTATAGGGATAATTTGACGAAAGATATGCGTAATTCTCGCGATGGGTTCGAATGAGCTTATTGTTGCTATTCACTCAGAGCATTACTGCGTTTTTCGGCACACTTATCCTTAACCCCCTGAATCTGATTAGGACTGTTCCAGACCTATTGGTGGCGGTGTACTAACTTACTAGTTTAAATTTTAAAAAAATTATCTGTTGTGTATCACTTTCTTCATGTCGAGAAGATTTAACTACGTTATCTTTTCCCGAGATTCATTAGAGTAAGATTGTAAAATATCAATGCACATCGTATTTCGATAGAGCATATAGACCTGCAGCAGACCTAATCAGATATCCTATTTCTTCTGGGTCTTTTTCTTCTGTAGATGATAAATGTATTACGCCTTATCAGTACTAAATCTATAAATATTTATGAGATTTTAAAATACTTCAATTTATAATTATTAAAAGCAAAATTTTTGCTGATACAATTTACAGAAAAATTATTTTATATATATAACATATTATATAGTAAATAGAGAAACTAAAGAAATAATGAATAATTTTATTATGGATATAATTTTATATTAATTATATGCAAAAATTTAAATTTTGCTGCATTAATATTACATTAATATATGTTATTTATTAATAAGAAACTTGTGTAAAATATCTTTGCGATATTTCGTATAAAGTGTCCTTATTTTTACAATTTTTTTATGAATTGCGATTAAAATTTCTCTATTATAAAATAGGCATATCGTAGATTTTATATATTTATATACATATATAAATCTATGCAACAGATTTTATATTACTATAGATCACGTAAATCTAAATACTTTGCGTAGCATTTAAGAGAACTTTAATTATAAAATTATTGTCACGCGAATTCCTTGTTCCTTTGACAAAATTTGACAAAGTATAAAAAACACAATATAGGTAAGTACGGCAATGTGTATTGGTAATAACAGATTCATTATATGCTGAACTAATTTTCAAGTCCTATAAGGATCCATTATATCGAGACTCTGGTCTACGATTAATTGGACGATAATCGTTCTGCGACGTTCTGTTTTGCAGGCAAATCGACCAGGGTGCCTCTGGGGACGCAGTGGAACAACTCCGGGCTGGAGCACGTCGGCAGCGGAGTCGTCGGAGGTGTCGACGACGAGGCGTCCCTGATCACGGAGTCCAGTCCTGTCTCGCCACCGTTCGTTCGCGCGCCCGCGGAGGATCGTTCCAAGTACGAGAAGCTGGCGTTCAACGCCGACGAGGTGTCCAGCGACAGCGACGGGAAGAGGATGGGTCCGAAGGAGCGAGCCAGGAAGACGAGGCGGCGGGTGAAGAACGTGCTGAGCCGCGGCAAGAGAAGAGTCGCGGCCCAACAACGCGAGAACGCGGACAACAGCAACGCGCAGAACGTGGATTACGAGTCGGACGACTCGATCGGCTCGGCCAGCGACCTGCGGGCGATGAACGACGAGGAGGAGGGAAACGACGAGGACGGGGAGGAGAACGAGGACGGTGATGGCGACAAACGGGGCAAGCGCCACGACGAGACCATCTCCGAGAGCGTGCGGACATGCGGTAGTTCTGCTTATCACGCGGAATGCGAGTCCGTGGCGACTCACGAGGACGACTACAGGATGAAGAGGCCGAGGAGGCAGCATCACTATCGCCAGCAACAGGCGCAACAGCTACCGACCATCGACGCGGATCCGATCGTGGGTCATCAGTACGGTGAGAAACCGCTTCTGCTGGACGACGAACTGGATCCCGAGTCCAAGCCAGAACAATCGCACGGGGATCCCTTCGTGCGACATCAATACGGGTCTAAACCGTTGCTCTTCAACAACGGTGACAGCTCGTCTGACGATAACAACGATGACAAGTCCAAATCCCTGATCCAAAACGGTATCTGGAAGGTGGAGAACGACGTGTTCGCTTTGGCGCCATTCCCACGGTCCAGCAGCTCCAGAAAGAGCAGCGATAGTCGCGAGAGCGAGTCCAAGAACGTCGATCCTAGCGGCAGCGTGAGGAATTCGCCTCGTAATTCGAATCTGGTGACGCCTATCTCCAGTTCGCCCCTTCCGGAAGTGGTGTTCGCGGATATAATAGAGAGTAAAACGACGGCGCTTCCGCCACCGAGGCCCACCACTTTGTCCTGCAAGTATTCGAAAAGCATCGCGAATAACAAAACTATCTATTACGAGGAATCGTCATCCTTTCCTCGTCAATCGAGCGTCGTTCAAACGTCCTCGGTCAAGAGCAACCCTCGTGTCGGCATTGCTGAAGAGGAGGAGGAGGATGAGGAGGAAGAAGAGCAGGAGGACGCGGAAAAGGATCTCTTCGGCTCCTCGCCCTTCAGTCCCAGTGGATTCACCAATCCCTTCAACAATGTTCAATCCACGTATGTCGACTCGACGTCAGCTCAGCCGACGATTCTGAGTCCGGTGGGCTCCTCTTCTTCTTCCTATATCGATTACAGCGTCCCTCAGCTGCAGTCGTCTCACAACAACGTGGTCTCGGATAATTATTACGCTAGTCACTCCAGTAGCACAATCGCTTCGACATCGAAATACGGGAAGGTGACGGTGAACTCGAACGAACTTTCAGCCTCCAATGAACCTTCCAAGGACCTCTTCGGGTCAATCCCGTTCGACGAGTTCGCCTCGCTGAAGATCAACGAGCAACAGCAGCGTCCGACATCTCTGTCGCTTTCGCAGTCGCCCAACTACGTGGATAACGTTAACGCGTTGACCACCACGTCGACGTTACCTGTCAGCAGTGTCATGCAGTCCCCGAAGAATACCGTCATTCATCTGATGCCGACACCACCGTCGCAGCCGCAGCCTCTGTCGCAACCTACACCCACTTATATGATCCAACCGACCGCGCACACAGCCAGGATCACCGTGCACGCGGTCAACAGCGTCTCCAAGGTGGACATTACGTGCGACATGATCTCGCCCATGTCGCCCGAGCCCCTGGTAGTCGCGGATGATGACACTCCCAAGCATAACAAGAAAGAGAAGTCATCCAAGTCGGACAAGTCCAAGTATCATCTGATCGACGAGAACCACGGTGACATCGTCAACGTGTTACAGACGACGCACAAGGTTTCTCACAAGACCAAGTCGACGAGTCACCACAAGAAGACGCCCAAGGGCAAGAAGAGCAGCACAGCCGCAACCGCTGGCTTCAGCAACATGAGCTTCGAGGACTTTCCCAGTGACGAGAACGAGGAGAGGCAAGCTGGACGGACCAAGGTAGCGCCCTTCGAGGTGATCCGCGAAGCGTCGGAGAAGCGATTCGGATCGCTCAAGAGGCGGAGCAACCCGTTCACCTGAGATGAGACTGTCCCGGCTAGCTGGCACGCTTGTCAGAAACGCTGGAACAGGTAAAAAGATTTGATACAACGCGATACGATTGATTGACATGATATCGTGGAGAGATATTGAACGTCGTTCTTGTATTTGCAAAGTTTTTTCTTTTTTTATTGGCTGGAATTTTATTACGAATTATTAAAAAACACAGCTGAAACAAGATATTAATCTTGTAAAAAAAAGATGTGTAAAATCTTTGACGACGCATACAGGTTGTATTTATATTTACATACATAGGAAACGTGTATTATGGCAATTTGCCTTCCGAAAGCACGAAAAATTGTCAACAGAATGAACATATAATGAAATTATGCCTATTTTACATTATCTGTTTTCGACATGTTGCGTTTGTGAAAAAATATGAAACGAAGAGAAACGTAATTTATTCGATAAATCTTTTATAGTATATATAAAAGATTATAATATTCTATAAATAGATACACAAAATTATTATACATAAAATATATCTTATTTATTATAAATAATTTATCATAACAGGAAAAATATATTTTATTAATTTTTTAAATATTTAATTCGCCTTAAATTAAATCACGTAAAAATAATTACATATTTCTTTTTTTATATTTTTTTATTATTTTAATATTAAATTAAGAAAATAAAAATGTACGTTTAAAAAGTATATAAATGTATAAACGTGAATATACTATTATTTCTCGATAGTTGCGTGTTTTTTCCACAAACGATAAGGTAATGTGATAGCAACAATTAACTGCATACGTTTATATCAGAAGGTATTCAGCGTGAACAAATATATTTATACATGCCTAACTGATAAACGTGTGTGGTAGATCGTATAAAATCGGTGATTTACACTAAAGTCGGAAAGTATTAATTCATATATACTACATTTTTTAATTGCTTTTTGCATTTTTAGAAGATTTATACACACAGAAAGGACAGGTAATAATGATAAATCAGAAAAAAGACTTTACGTTATTGAAATAAAATGTTGATCTTTACAGGGAAAAAAGAGAAGAACGAGCGACAGATACTTTCTCATGTATTTTAACGTGAAAAACCAGGTTGTGAAACTTGGCAGCTCGATACCAAAAAAAATGATAAAAATAGATAGAGAGATAAAGAGATGGAAAGAGGGAAAGAAAGAGAGAAAGAAAGAAAGCTTGTGCATCTATTTTTGCAGCTAAGTCTTTTCACTACGTTTGTACTTTAAAAATTTGTAGATTTCTAATAGTACAATCTATACTAGTTCTTACAAAACAATTTTTCTAAAAAAAAAGTTATCTGAACTATATATACATATATATATATACTTATAAACGCAATTCGCAAAATCTCTAAATTTTCTCGTTGAGGGGGAGAAAAAATTTTTACCACAATATTTACAGTCTCTTGAAGAAAAAAGAAAAAAAAGAAATCGCAACACACACAGAGTATTTCTTGTGAAAAATTAACGTAATGCATAATTTACAGAATTCGATATTGCAAAAGCGCAGATATTAGTATCGAAGAGTGATTTGTAATATTTGTCATAAAAAAAGAGCGAGCAGGTTCGCCTAAAGAATTGGCCTTATCGTGTAAGACTGACTTGTTGTTTAATAGTCTCGATTGACCATTTAGATCGTATAAGACAATTACATCTCTTGCTTGCAAATTTGACAATTCGCTGACGATTCATAGCGCGAAATTGTTCAAAACCAAAATACTTGAAATCTTGTGCCCTTTTCACGATCGAGACTGTTAAAGTAAAATGTATGAACAGTAGAAGCGACTATTTAATCCTACAACATTATAAATATTGATATTCATTTTCTTTTCTCGCATCGAATCTGTATATGTTAAACTATTCTCGATATTCTTCTCTAGCGAGAACGAATTTAATACACACAGAATTTTGTAACTTTGGAAATCTATTTAAACTAAACGTTCTTCTACTAATATACTGCGCCTTTTATATAATCGAAGATCTACAATCTAGTTCAATGTAAAAAGATATGACAATATTATATAAAAAAAAAGAAATGTTTGTAATTTACGCGTGTTTTGATGCATGCACACTCATGCATATATTATATATATACATATATAAAAAGATGTAATATAATTTGTAGATACTATATTAGCTTGTATGATTAGGTGCCTTCCTTCATTAAGTAGCGTTCAAACTCTTGCAGTCTTTGCTGTCGTGTAGTATACAAAAGCTGATTAGTATTATATATACATGTATATGTATATGTGTATATATATATATATTTATATATATATATATATATATATTTAAATATATATATATATATATATATATAAAATAAACAGAGTCAATTGTTTATACATGTAATGGATATAATGTATATCTGAAAAGTTGTCTTCAGTTTAGTTCCTATACATAATCAGGTGAAAGATATGTGTAATCTATAGGGAATTAAAAGCGATTTCTTCATGCTAGCACACACACATACATATAAAACTAAGAATAATTTATGCGAACAGAATTAAATATTAAATTTCGATCCAGTGAATTTGACAAGTCCACGAATGATTTGAATGTATTTACTGAACATACGAGAAAAATGTTTTGTTATTCCAAGCCTTAAAATACTCTATCATTCTGTATACACCGTGTATAAAATAGTACGAATTAGGTGCTAAGAAACACCAAGCATTTTAACGTCCTAAAGCGATGTAATTCGATTGTATAAAGTCTCTATTATGGCTACGATATATAATGTAGATAAACACGTGATACATTCCTTCTTTAATTTTCATATACTGTTATTTATTATCGTTGATTTATATAGATTTCCTCATGTACACATAGGAAGAGAAATATATATTATATACATATATATGAATGTCTCGAAAAGTTTTACGGATACTTTACTAGTTTGCACTTCAATTTTCGTCACTGCCTGCAATAACACAGTATTCATCTTTATCTTTCGTTAATTGTATAATAATACAATGATAGCAACATTATAAATCGTATTTAAAAAAAAGAGTTAATATATAAAGAATGCGTTAAGTTAATGAGATGCGAACCTTTATTCTTAGAATGATCAAAAATATTGTTCCAATGTGTGTACACACGATGTGTAACATAGTAACGCAAATTGTGTAAAAAATGTATAAAGAGAAAGCAATTATATTTGAATACGAGAGAGGGATGCGATTATTTTCCACGGCAGCGGAAGAAAAGTGAGTCTTTAATTTTTTGATATATAAAAGAAGAAAAAAAGCTACCGAAAGCACTCTGTCTCTGTATAAAATTGCATAAATAAAATGTCAATACTATCAATCATACACGCGACATGTCCTGTATGCATCTCTTTATATGGGGGGTCAAAATATTTCCCGAAAATTCTATTAAATTTTACAATTTAACTTTACCGAACAATTCAGCAACAGCAGCAGAATTTTTCCCCTAAATCGTGCAGCCTCTTTCTCGCCATGATGAAGTTTATCAAGCACGCGACGAGCCAAGCGAAGAAGTTGAACCAACTCATGGATATCGCAAGCTGGAGCGCTATTCCTGTGTTGATCTCGCTGCCTCGAGTCCAATGGTTGGTATCCGGATGAAGATAATCCATGAAATCGAAAATTGCGCCGCACGATAGTCTGTTATGAATCGCCTACGATAAAACAATAAATAGACAATTTTTTTAAATCTTGTATATTTCTGAGAGTTAAACGTTAAACTTGATAAATAAAATGCGTTTTACCTGAATTTCGCGGCCTCTCGAACCCAATATTTCAACGAGATGTCTTCTGTATTGATTGCAAGAATTATAATAGCCATCTGTTATCACGACCGCGTGGGCAAAACATAGGCAGCAGATTAACACTGCAAAAAAAGCTGTGGGCATCCATTGTTTAAAAGCACTTCTACTTTTCACGTGGACCACGACGACCCGATCATTAAGATTGTTTCTGGAAGAAGAATTTAAGAAATTATAATTGTAAAATTATGTAAAAATAAAAGATGATAACAGAGTTTTCAGAATTTTTAATTAATAAAAAAATTATTTCTTTAGATTTTCAAAATATAGACATTACTCAATCCTACATAATCTGCATGGAAGACAAATTCGAAGTACCTGTCCTCGTTCTGCGTTCGCTTGCGGCTAATTTGCTTAGGATCATCCAGATTTTTGTAGATGCAACATCTGTATCCATGAAAACCGCCGAAACACATGGCAATCAGGATTATGGGCGTGATACCATAGGCACCAAAATGACAGACCTTGACATTGCCGCCGAGGAATGTACGAAATGTGCTGGTACCATATAATATGCAGCCGCAATCGATGTCAAGGCAAGTGTCCAATGTCCATGTCCAATGCTGCCAGACTGTCACCAACGATATGACGGACGTGATGCAGAACACCATGGATCCTGTGTATAGCATCGCTAGCCATAATTCCGCTTGTCTCGCCTTCATGATGTCCGCCTCGCAATTTATTCGAAAAGAATTTTTAAAAGTTTTCAATACCGTCCGACCATCCGCTCGGATCTTGAAGAGGAATCAGCAGAGAAGCTTCATGCACGCGATATATTTATTTTCTCATTTCTACAAATATTTCCTTCATATTTCAACGATTAGCTTGTACATTAATAAATGCGAAATTTGATTTCATCTGAAAGAAAAAAGATTTTTATGAGACTTTGAAATCAGTTTTTTATCTTAAAAACATGGGGAATAATATATATACATATTTTGGATAGAAAGAAAAAATTAATATACTTTTCGTGAATAATTAATGATTGTAGAAGATGATAAAGAAAATCGATGAAATCTTAAAATTGACAAGTTTTATAAACTATAAAAAAACAAGAGAAAATTGTAATTTTTTTTAAAAGAACTTAAGTTTTTTATATTATTAATACATGCTTTGTAACATTTCTTCTCTATAGTAGAACTCCTTAAAAATTTTACTATTGACGACTTAAGAAATCGATTTTAAATAACATTTTTATGTTTAATTACTTTAAATTTTTCGATTCCCAATTTTTAATTCTCTGATAAGATTTCAGAATAGATTGTGACAGTTCGCTATTGCGTTTGACAGGAAACATGTGGCACGAAAATTCGTAGTGTGAGATCGTAAAATAGCGCGCAAAGCGGCTCTGCAAAATACACAAATATTTTCATATTCAGTTAGTATTTCTCCTTGTTAGACACCATCGACAGATCTATTTTTAACGGATTAAACGCCGATTTCCTCTTTCCATTGTGCCCGAATTCCGTTCTATGCACGGTGTCTTCATCATATAAGTTTCGCAACATCACAGCTGTAGATAATTTAACGTGACATATATTAACGTTACGTAAAATTTAATATTTTTCGCGTGTATTTAAATTGCTATATATATATTTATAATTATTTAGAAATTTTTTTCTTCAAATTAATATTGATTTTAAATATTAAATTAGTATCTCTTTTATGTGTGCCTCTTAATAATCATCCTTTACTTTTTCAAATAAGAGTGTTGCAATACGTCTTTTATTTCGCGAATAAGTAAATATTTTATGATTTAATAATAAATGTTTTTATACACAATGATAACTTAACAGTAAATTAAAGATAAAATTTGTAAAATAATTTGTAAAATTGATACAAAAATTGTAAGATAGTTTAATTGATGAGTTAAATCAGTAATTCATCACGCTGTTTATTTTATAGTAAATATTATAAATCTACAGAGAATCAATTAAGTAAAGTTAAACGAGATATAAAACTAACATTGTTAGAACTCGTATGAAATCAAAACTGTATGTGTTAAAATCTAAGTTACTAAATTATTTAAATTTATTTTTCGTACATGTTTCAATAAGAAAAGATATTTTGAAAGAGAAACATTGCATTTACAGAAGCTACAAAGATTTTAGCAAAGTCATAAAATCAAAAGTGAAAACAATCTAAAATTAATCTCTTTTAATAACAAATCTAAAACAATCTCTTTTACTTAAGCTCGCATACGTTTCATGTTCTAGTTTCTCAATAAATAATTGTTATAAATTAAGCGGATGACGAAAGCTTTTGGGAAGTGTACATTATGTCGGGTCATTAATCAAGCTCGACCTACGTAAACAAATAACTGGAACGCGACGTGTAAAGAATATAAGAGCACTTACGACACAATCCAAATAATTTACATATATGCACCTGTACGAGAATCGAAGATAGCTGGCTGACTGACTGACTGACTGTCTGGCTGACTGACTGACAATGAAAGGACGACTGCACTTTACTGTTGATTAGCGACGACTGGGGATAATAAAATTTGTCCTTCTCTATCTAGCTTGTACTAGCCAGAGTTAGAGAGAGATTCAGAGGTGCTAATTAAAGTTAATTATCACTACCTGCTTTTTATAGGAAGCAGTTAAATATTGACATTTAAACGACGACGAGGAATGTGAATGATGAAAGTAATATACGTGACATATATATGTGCTATTCGAAAATAGCATGAGTGCTTTCTAAAAAATTGACAAAAGAGAGAAAGATTATATATATAGAATTAATAATAGTTCCTTAATTATATTCTTTTTTTTCTTCTCTCGAGAAAAGAAGCAACATATAAAATGTCTTTTATAATCATTCCATAAATATATATATATATATATATATAATTATATATTCTTTCTTATAAATAAAATTAATTAAAAAAGAACAAAATAATTTTTATTTAAATTTTTTTCTAAAACAAAAAATACATATTAAAAAACGAAAAATTGAATTTTTTTCGAGAAATCGAATTTCTTTACAATTTTCTTGCAAATAAAACGTTTTTATTTATTTTTTTTTAATTAAATTGCTCTGAGAAATATATTAAGACACAAATTTTCAAAAAAATTCGATTCTGGTTTCTATTCTCCAATTTTTTCTAATATAATTTAAATTAATTTGTTTTCAACCTTATCCTCTTTTGCAAAAACACTCTGTTATGTATACCTGATGGACAGCAGATAACTGTCAAGAGATTAATTGTGAGAAAAATAGGAAATCGTGTTATATAAGTTTATCGCGACTTAACTATAAGACTTAACTACATTCTTCAACTTTAACACTGTCTCTTGTATAGAATCCACGTCTGCCAGCGTCAGAAGATTCGAAGCGACTACTTCCGCGACTTCCGCTGGGCTTTTGCGTCTTGTGCACATCACGATGTATGCGCAAGAATTACATACACACATGTGTGCCTTGTTTAAATAAGTCGTATACTTTCGTAAATATTCTTTGCGGTCTACTACAACGATCGCAGATTCCGACAGATAAAATAAACTAACCGATGTCTCGCGATGTCTTGTTGTCACACATGCGTGCGATATATATATGCTCTGTCTTCAAGGATAATTTTTTATTTTGTTAATTAAAAATTCCTTTCTAACAAAGGGATGTAAATAAGTCGATACTCGCATATATCGAAGCTTATTGTTATTGCTTTTCCTCGCAGCGCGCGCTTGTATTGTCTGGTAGATTATATATATTTTATGAAGAGATAACTGCTATATATATATATATATATTCAGATGATTTTTCGAACGTATTAAAAAACATATTACAAGCGCGCGCCATCGTCCAATTTCATGTAATGATTTTATTTTATTTTGAACCGTCGAACTTTAATATTTGAAAAATCATCTGAATTAATAGAATATATTTTGCAAAGAGATATAGTGGCGGTAGTGCCGGCAATAAATGTCTTTTTAGTCCGAAAAATTATTTGAGTTAATAAGAGAGATATTCTTTTATATATACATATATATAGAATATTCGCCTATTTATCAATAAAGTTTAATTTTATATAATTATATATAATATATCTATATATAATATATTTAGACATCATAAAGAAATGTCACGTTTTGTAATATTCTAGAGTGCTAATTATAAATAACTAATTATAAATGTTTTCACATGCCGCTTAAAATCTATATGTAAAAATAAAAAAATATCTTTATTCTCGATGTACTTCCTATGTGAAATAATATTTTAATCTGAGATTTCGGTTTAATTAATCTTAAATATTTTTATTTCTTTAATATTTTGTGAAATATTAAATATTTAAAATAAATTAAGAATGCATTGCGATATGTATATATATACATATATATATATATATATATATATATATATATATATATATATTTAAAATCTTAAAACACAGTAAAACTCTTAATATGAACAAAAATTTTTTGCAAAATTGTAATTTTGTAAGGCGTAAAATTATTTAAATAAAAAAAAGTGTTTGTCTACTAGATATTCTGTCGCCAATGTTATCGCTGAATACATTTATCAAGTTCAATGCAGTCAACAAAATATACAAGTATTTGCACCTATTTTCCAACACGTGATACATATGAATGATGATTTACTCTAAATATCATCATTTATAGAAAATTAATACAATTACAATAACTTTTTTAGTGTTTATCTCTCTCATCTGATATGCGAACTTTTTATTTAAATCACAACAATAATTTATATATGATAAGATGAGAAATAAACTCTAAGAAAATTATCCTAATTGTATTACTTTTTTATTTGTGTATAAAATATTCAACAAAATATCGTCCAAATATATCGATTACATATACAAACCATGAAATCTATTAAACTCAACAATGGATTTATTACACTCGCATAATATTCTTCCCAGTTATTACGATTTACACTTTATTTTTCGCACAATTAATCAGTATAAATATCGCGCATACGAATTGTTTTATCGGTATATGTAATTTTGTTTTAGATATGCAGATCGCACACTCAATTATTGGATAAAACGTAATAAAACGCACTGAATACAACCTGTACACGGACAAAAACACTCTGATCGGTGGAAAATCCACTCATTTCCGAACATGAAACCTGATAGTGAGATAAAAACTGATAAGATTAACGCCTCTCTTTCTGAATCATGTACACATAAGAAAAAAAAAGGATCCCAGTGCGTGTTCCCACTAAAGCGTCCGAATATTATATCTGAAATTATATATTTACATTTATATTTACAAGTAAAATTTGCTTATCACTTAATAAATACTTAATAATTTTTCTTATTACTAAATAAATATATTATCAAGCAAATAGAATATTAAATTAACCGAATATATTATTGGAAGACATATATACACAATATTAAATTGCAAATATGTGCAACGTGTAACGTCAGTAAGTTTATTTGAAAGTACATACATTGCTAGATAACTTATTTTTTATCCTAACATCTCTTTAATAATTTATTTGTCATTTGGTGTGAGATTTTCTATGTACAAAGTAATACAAGGATATAAGAACTCATCGGGAACTGTTCATAGTATAGACGTCAATTTGTTACATGAATCTGCAAAAAAAGAAACAAAAAATTGTATTAGAATCTTTAGAATATTAAATTTAATATTGCAATTGATGTTATTATATACTGGTTCACATAATTTTATATACTTATTTAATTGGCTGTGTAATATACAGCTCAATAGAAAAAATAATTTGCAAAATAAGGAAAATAAATTTAGTTATTTTGAAAATTTATTTCCAAAAACGCTATATTTTTTTAACTAAATCAGATAGAAAAGAGAACTTTTCCCTTCACATTTTTATAAATAAATAAAAGTTTTTAATTCTAAATTTTTAAAATATATAATCCTATATTTTATTATGTAAATTTTGATTATAATATAACAAAATTAGATTCTTATATTTTACAGTTATAACATTATTGTATATATATGAAACATAAAATTTATTCTTATTGCGTGCTTTAAACATGTATCACAATATTTAAAAGAAATCTTAATGATCAGCAATGTGTGTGTATAACATTAAATATTAACATATTTAAACATTCTAAAAATTACACACATGATGTTAAATATGAAATATTTAAACATTTCAAATATGTAATAAGAATAAATTATACTTTTAGAATTTTATAAACATAAAATCTTCAAATTTTACAATAGTGACATTATTATCAATAAATAAAACTTTAATGGAAAAGGTTTTACAAAATTATAATTTTACAATGCAAATACTATTTAAATTCAATAAAAACATTTTGTAAACTATACTTTGTTTTGTACAATTTTAATCTAAATCATATTTGCTATATAATATACACACACACATTTTTGTGTGTATTATATACATATAATTATTTTTTTAATATGAATAATTTTGACTTATAATTTACTTTGTTCTCTAATTAAAGTAATTTATATATATTTTATATATAATTATAACTCCACACAATTAATTTATTGAACTTTTGACTATTTAAACTTTATAACTATTGTAACAATAAGCAAATAATAAATAGTATCAATGTGCGAAAAAAACATTTGACAAGAGTATAATTTGTCTAAAAATTTTTTTACTAAAACACATACACACACTCACTAAACATGTACACTCTTATGCTGTATGTTTCCATCCAGTATTCATATTTCGCTGTAACGACAAGCCTCCATTGTTCCATGCACAGTACATTACTGCAACTCCTGCTGCAATAGCGCCTGCGATACCGGCTTTTCTAATTCCAGCTAAATTTTAATATTATTATTATCATTATAATGAATATGTATATGCAGAGGGCATAAAGATCATGCTACATACCAGGAGATCTAAACACTGCAGCACTTGTGGCAGCTGCTGCAACTGTGTTAACACTATCATCGGTTCCTCTGAGCCAAGTTAAGCCTATTCCAGCACAAGTATACATTATTGTAATTACACCAAGCGAGTTTGCCATACTAGCACCACCTTTCATAATGTAATTAATTAATCTGAAAAGAGAAGAAAAAACATATATATGCATTTAGTATTAAACATTAAAACAAAAAACACAAAGACATACTGTGTTCTCCTAAGTTTGCCAGTTTCACCAGCGATAGATGTTGCTTTGATGCCTCTATATAAACCTGATGTTCCACCGATTCCAGCACCCGCTATACAAGCGGCTCCAATCTGACTGAAAGCTAACTCGAAGCGGCCTCTCTGCTTTACAGCACCATCAGGAAATATGAATTCTGGCTGACTGACAGGAAGATACGATGGGTCAAAATTCAAGAATGGACTAAGAGGAGCTAAATTTGGTTGTGAAGTAACTGAAAAATAAAATAGTATTATAGCAAATAAGATAAATTTTACTTATTATTTATTCATAATTTATTTGAACTCATGACAATCATCATTTAGTGAACTTTGCACATGTCTTTTATAAAATAAGAATTTATTTCATAATTCAAGTAGTTAAAGTTAGATTTTGTTATTAGCTTAAGTAGATGTAATCTCTATATCTTTTCAAGTACGACATTTATAAGTAACACATATTTATATTTGCAAATTGCAATTCTACATCTATATTACTGTATAAAAGTAAAAAGATTATAATTATAGATCTGATTACACACAATAATGCAATAATTCAGGTTAGGAATATGATCTGTCACGAGTTTAAGTTGAACGAGCAAATAATAATTCGTGACAACAGAATTTAAAAAATTATATAACTACGAGATATCCAATTTATTCAATAATATTCGAAGAAACCTTGCCGTTTGCAAAGAATTAAACAATTAAAAGAAATCGCGATTATAAACGAAAACGAAAAAAGGTTCGGCGCAACGTCAAAAGTATTCAAGTAGTGCCAATTATCTTAATTTTTACCAGGTATATTAGTGTTGTTATATCTTCCATTATCGGCGTCGGAGTTGGCGGTCCCGGAATTCGTGCGAAAATCTATCATTTTGTCGAAATAATTTTGAACCTTCTGCTTTTCGATCGGACGACCACGAGACTCTCGGACAATCACGGATGATACAACGATACATTGAATCGAACCGAATGTGCCCGAGAACGCGGGCCGGAAAATGACGTAATCGTCCATCGCGATTAGCCAATCGCGAGTCTGGTTTCTTTCTGCTCTCTGGTTTCTCTTAGTGTCCCTAGAATACATTTTATCAGATTTTATTTTACATTTTATTCTAGGGACACTAGTTTCTCTCTGTTTGAATATTTCCCTAAAGAAAGACTCTTTTGATACATCGAGTTTCCTTCCTTCTGTGACACGTGGTTTATAGCTGTTGACGTTTGGCGCGTTTTCACATTTGTCAGATCTCAGATCTGTCAAACCTCAAAAGCTTGTTGAATGGTTTATTTTTTCTGCGTAAATAAAATTTTGTCTGTCATTCTGGTCATTCAGTGTCTCGATAGCTGCAAGAGGACACCTAAAATCCTAGATCGAAGAGAGATGAGGAAGAGATACATTGCGTCATAGTTTACGCGATAACAAACTCGTTCAATCCGATAACGTAACGCGATAACATCGCGTTAAATAAGGCAAAATGTCAAAGATACGCCGGCTCTCGATTCGCGGCATTCGTAATTTCGGCGATGACAGTGAAGACGCGTTGTTACGTTTCTCCTGTCCGTTGACGCTTATTTTGGGACCGAATGGCACAGGAAAAACAACGATCATAGAAGCGTTGAAATATGCCACGACCGGCGAATTTCCACCAAACTCTGAGAAAGGAAGGTCCTTCATACATGATCCCATGCTGGCGACAACCGGCTCGGTATGACAGCAATATTTAATTTCATATATATATATATATATATATATATATATATATATATATACATGTTTTAAATTTATTAAATCTTTTAAAGATTTCTGATTTTTTAAGGGTATCCGACTTTTTAAGGATTTTTTAAGGGATTCTGATTTTTCTGTATTTTTAATGAGTACTTATATGTTAATTATAATTTTTGCCTTATATTATATTATAGGTAAGAGGTGTTGTCAAAGCTGAGATAATTGATTCCACGGGTAATACTTATATAGTATCCAGAACAATTGAGTCATTGAAGGCAATAAAAAAATTTAAGACTCTTGACAGTACTGTAACAAGAGTAAGCAAGGATAAAAAAGAGGTGGATATTTGTAATATTGTATTTTTTGTAGATTATAATTATTAACTTTAATTTATTCAATTGTTCTGATTATTTTAATTTTCTGATGTAGAAAGCATCTATAACCAATCGATGTGCTGATGTGGATGCGGAGCTCAGTGTAGCATTAGGTGTTTCAAAGTCGATTCTGAATTATGTTATATTTTGTCATCAAGATGAGCTTAACTGGCCATTTGACCAACAAGGAAAAAATTTGAAGGAGAGATTTGATGAAATATTTGATAGTGCTAAATTTAATAAAGCTTTAGAAACTATTGCAAAACTTTACAAAGAGTTACAAGGGGATATTCGAGGTCTGAATGCAGAGAAACAGACTTTCAAAGTACTTGTATCTGAAGTAGAAGATAAAGAGATTAAACTCGAGGAGCACAAGAAGAGATTGGATACCACAAAAGAAAAAATAAATGATATTGATAAACAGCTTGTACCTATAAAACAGAAGATTGAAGAAGTGCAACAATCTCATACCGAATACAAAAATATTCAAATTGAAGAAGGTAAGTTGAGTAAGAATTTGTGAAAATATATGGATAAAAAAGAAAGTATTATTTTCAGAGAAAAAGAAAATGGAATATAATATGTATAAGGAACGGTATCAAAAACTGAAAGAAACAATAAAAAATATCTTTGAAGGAACAACAGAGGAATTAAACGGTCTCATAGAATCATATGATACTATATTGAAAGAAAAAAACAATGAAATAACAGAGGTATACATATAAAGTACACATATAATTATATTATCACATCTTTGTATATGCATTATATATTGATTTGCTGGTTTTAGAGTGAAACTGAAATTAAAAGTATTTCTGAGAAAGGAACTAGGATCTCAAATATCTTGGCAACACGAAGAGAAACTGTAGGTACATTTAAACAACAAGTGAAAGATCATGAGAAAAGAATAATTCGTCGTAATCGATTATTAAATGATGCATTGCAAGCATGGGATTTTGATACAGTGGAACAAGATGTATCTGAAATAGGTATAACAAATCTTTTAAAATAATCATATCAGTTTTTTCATAGATCTTGAATATTAAATATTGTTCATATTTTTAAATATTTTTTTATTACTAAAATTATACAAAAATTCTATATGTAGAGGTGAAGGCTCTTACAAAAAGATTGGAACAGAAGATCCGAGCATTGGAACAAGAAGTAGAAGAAAATAGACAGAGCATGCAAAAAGAGAAAGTGAATTACAAAAAGAAGTTGATATGTTACGTAGCAATTATTCAAAGATAGAATCAGGAAAGATTCTCAAAGAGAAGGAAGTTACAGAGATAAGAGTTGAAATTACCACCATACGGAACCAAATAGCACAGGTTAATATATTTTCATTAAGGATTTTATATGATACAAAATTATTTTATAATATTTTTATAATAAAGTTATTATTTTAATTTTTTTAGATTGGTGCAGCAGGAAATAAATTAAAGTCCATAGAACAAAAACTTCAAACAGCAAAACATAAAATTGATGAGCTTAACAATGCATTAGATGTTAATTCTCTGAAAACTGATATTGCAAACAAAGTAAAATCCAGAGATAAGATTGAAACAAGTTTAAGCGTGGTTGATGATGAAATTTCTTCTTTACATAAGTTAAGCTCATTAAAAACAGAATTTGATTTGAAAAAATCGGCATTACAAGCCAAAGAAGAAGAAATGGAAAATTTGAAGAAAAAACATGGAAATAGCATCAAAGTATTGTTAAATATTCAAGAATTACAACAGACAAAATTGAAAAATACTCTAGACCGTGTACACCAGCAATTGGTATGTGATTAATTTTTCATTTATGTATACGCATGTGCTGATAAAATCTTATTAACTTTATGTACTTAACAGGAAAAAGAAACAAATTCTTTGACGCGAGAGATTCAAACACAAGAACGCAAAACTACCGCTTTTCAAACGTCATTACAACACATAGAGTTAGAATTTGAGAAAAAGAAAATAGAGTTACATCGTAAGAATATTTTTTTATTTTTTAATTTTATATATAATCTTTAAAAGAATTTTTACAGTTTTTTTATTTTGGGTATTTTTTTTTTTTTTTTTTTAGGTGATAAAGAGAAAATTTCTACAGTGTGCGATTACAAAGAATTTGATGAGACTTTGTTAATGCAATCAAAAATAGTAAAGGAGCTTCAAGATAAGCGAGGAGTTTATGCTTATCAAGCCACAGCCTACAAAGAATATATTACAAAACTATCTGTAAAAGATCCTTGTTGCCCTTTGTGTCACAGAAATTTTCAGGAACAAAACAAAGTGGCAGATTTAATAAAAGAAATGGAAACTGATATCATTCGTAATCAACCTAATAATTTAAAAAAGTGTGAAGGGGAACTAAAGTTGCAACAAGAAAAATATGATAATATGTTGCAATTAAAACCCATTGTTGAAAAAGTTATTCAATGTGAAGAGAATGAGCTGAAAAAATTAGAGTGAGTGAATATACTTTACTGTATATATTATATTATTACCAATAATATTATTAGTATTTATATGAGATTTATATTTATTCTATATATATTTATATATAATATATATATATATATATATATATATATATATATATATATTATTATATGAATGCATTAAACTTCTAATATATTTAATATTAATAAATTAATTAATTTTAATTTTTTTCTTTATTTTCTTAGAGAAAGATTGCAGAAAGCCAAGAATAGTGCAAAGCTGTCCAAAATAGCTGTTAAAAATCTTGAAGAGTCAAAAGCAGAACCTGAAAAGAAATTATTACTGTATAAAGATATAATCAGTGATATCAAATTTTGGGATCGATGCATAGATGAAATACAGCAATTAAAAAAAACTGTTAATAATTTGGAAACTCAAATGGCCAATGCTGGTATAAGAATCATGAGATTTATCATTATTATTAATTAAAACGTTTTTCCCTTTTCAATATTTAATACATTATATATATTTTCATAGGAGTCCAAACCGAAAAAACTATAGAAGAGCTGCAGGCGCAGCGAGAATCCTTGAAAACATCTTTCAAAGAAACTCGTAACCATCTTGAAGCATTACAACTCAAACTGAATAAGCATAATGAGAGGCTGCATGAGGCTAGAGAGACATATAACGAATTACATGAGGAACAATTAAAAATTCAGTTGGATATGCAGAAATTGAAACATTTAAAGGATAAACAGGATGATTTGTACACCCGAGAAGTCACTGTAGGAGAAACGGTGGAGAAACTGCGTGAAGATTTGGCAGATGCTGAAAATCAATTGGAGTCTGGAACTCAGAAACTGGAAAAGCTTAAGGTTTGTTTTTCACATTTCTAAATGGAGTAATTTATGATAAAATATCCATAATAAGTAGAGAGATATTGTACAAAGAGTTTTGCATAGAGTGAAGACAAAAAGATGAGATATTTTTTTTACAGCTGGAAAACTGGCAAAAACAAGAAGATGATAGAAAATCGATGATGGAAGGTACTAGACGCCTGTCCGATTTACATAAGATAATAGATGAAGTCGATTCGTTTATAAACAGCAACGTACCTGAGAGACTCGCGAATTACGAGCGTGACATAGAAAGTTATCAGAATTCGCTAACAGAACTTATGAACAAGAAAAAAGATGTAGAGCAAACGATAAATAAGTTGAAGGAGGATGTTGCCTCTCAAGAAATTGGAAAGAGAGAATTACATGACAATATAATGTACGTAATATTATGGATACAATAGAGCTTTTGAAGGGACAATACAAGAAATTAAACGAAAAATTGAAAAGTATGAATTATAACGAGTTATCAAAGAAATGGGAGCAGTTGGAAAATGAAAAACAAGTATTACTTCGTCAAGTAAGTATAGTTATGTATGTATATTATTATGTATGTATATCATATTGTAACTTGTTCATGATTTGTACATTTGTTCTGTTAACAATTTCACTGTGTCCATTTAGAAAAACGTAACGCTGGGAAATCAAGAAGAATTAGAAAGAGTCATCAAACAGTACATGCAAGAATTACGAAGAGAGGAATATCGATTAGCTCGTCGAAATTATACTACCAAGTGCATTGAATTAACAGTAAGTTGAATTAACAATAAAATATTTTATATATTAAATATTCTACAGTCAAATAATATTCTATTGCAGTAAATGTGTACTAATTTTATGCTTTTATATTATATATATATATTTTTTTATTTAAAAAATATATATTTTTTTATATATAAATAATATATAAATATATAATATGTATAAGTGTGTCAAATTAGTACACATTTATTGCAGTAGAATATTATTTGATTTTAGAAGTTTATTTCGATTTTTAAATTTGTTTATTAGGTTCAGGAAGAGACCATAGCAAATTTGAAAGCTTACAGTAAAGTATTGGATACCGCCATGATCGAGTATCATGAGGAGCGCATGTCGACAGTCAATAGAATAATGAAAAAGCTGTGGAAACATGTTTACAAGGGTACAGATACTAGTTGCATAGAGATTTGTACAGAACCTACAGATGGTGTGGGTAGCAGTAGAAGAAGCTACAATTACAAACTGATTCAAACTAAACACGGTTGTAAGATGGATATGAAAGGACGTTGTAGTGCTGGACAGAAAGTAATTAACATACATAATTAGCGAATAATTAGCACGTGTAATCGCGAAATGTGTTAGATCTATTTGAAATGTATAATTTTTTTAGGTATTGGCATCGATAATTATAAGACTCGCTTTAGCAGAAACATTCTGCAAGGACTGCGGCATTCTTGCATTAGATGAACCAACGACAAATCTGGATGAAGAAAATGCGAACAGTTTAGCAGATACGTTAACTAAGTATGTTTTTTTTCTTTATACAAAGCGTAACATTGACATTTTAAGCAATAACGTAAAAAAAGTTGTAAATTATATGTGACGTAATATTAAGCGAAAAATATATTGCAGAGTTGTCGAGCTACGATCGAGATATCAGAAAAATTTCCAACTGATTATTATCAGTCACGATGAAAAGTTCTTACAGAAACTGGCGGATTTGAATAATCACAAAAAATTCCATGAGCTTTATCGTAAACAGAAGTACGTTATATAATAATGCACGTAAAAAATATAATAAATTGTTGGAAACACTTAACTTTGATTCTTCCTTATAGTGGAATGACTGCAGTGAAAATCTCTGACTTCAACGAGCCTACGAGTTCTCTGGTACACATAAAAAGCGAGGACGAATCCGACGAGGAAGAAAGCCGTCCTAATCAGTTCCGGGAAACAACAAGTGGCTTATCTACAAATACTTCAAGTAAAAAGAGATACAATTGGGATGATTTCAATGAGCAAGATAGGCCGCCGATTAAGAAGAAATACCGTTTCGAGTAAACCTTCTAAAATAAGCTAAACTTCACATCATTTATATAATTTATATATGCCTTATATTTTTTCTAATATATAATATGCATTGTTTTACTTTGTTACAAGATTTCTGTAATTGCTTAAGTATGGATAATATTCAGTGTTAGTGTGTAAACTAATGTTCTTAGTTTTTTTTGGTTTTTTTTAAAGAAAAGTTATTCAGGTAAAAATTATATCTCAGGGATAACTAAACGCGAAGATTATTTTGTATTTAGTATAAGAGCGATAAGAATAGAGTTAATTATTAATAAATTTATTTTCAAACTTATAATATATCGTATTATGTATTATAGACATGCCTCATTTTTAAAAATATGTAATTGCATTTAATTTTTTTGTACAAAATTTTTGTAATTGTTCAAGAGTATTCATAATATTCATAATATGTGAGTATGTAAGTGTTCATTCAAAGAAAAGTTATTCAGCCAAAATTTCTATGTCAAGGATGTAATAGCTAAACGAAATTATTTTGTATTTACTTCGAGAGTGATAATAGTACATAGTACATACAGAGAGAATTAGAACAAAGATTTTTCGACATTTATTCTAAGGAAGTCGTTTCTATTATCCCTCGAACGAAATGTCGAATCTAATTTGATCTGGTTGATATCTGACAGTATTCAAATTTTTGTAGAAACTTTAATTCAAAAGATCTCGAAGGTAAATAGATAAATACTTATCGATATCACGCATCTTTGTTGTATTTCAAAATATGTAACTACAATGATATAGTTTAAATATTATCGATATTCAGAGAGCTATATTATATATATTATAAATGCAATTATATAGTGGCTGTCCCGCGATTTTCGTCAATATTGTTTCTCTCCGAGAGTCTCGATGACCGCTATAGTTAGCGAGTTATCGCGAATCGAACGCCTGGAGGGAGCCGGCATCGTACGTAATAGGCTGCCGCTGCTCGGGGAGCCGTAACGTCATAATAGGATAGTGATGTTAGTAATACCATCCCGCGACTGGAGGCAATCGGCCGGGCGATTGACTGGCCTGGCGTGGCATACCGAGTCTAACCAATTTGCATCGCATTGTGTACTCGTTACGCTTCCATCTGCGCCGGTATAAGCACGCATACAAGTATATGGTACACCACGACGCGATGGTAGAGACGAGGTTTTCCGGCGCGACGTGTCTCTATCGTCATCTCTCTGCATCGCGAATCAAACATTTACACGATTTTTGATACCTTATAAAAATTAAAATAAATATGTTTTAAATAATGTTTTAAAATAATTATTTTGCATGAAAAACGCATATTTTCGAGCTTAATGAGACGCCAATCGATTTTTCAGAGATCTATTCTTTTCAAAACATTTCATATAATTTTTGACATGTACAATTAAAAATAGAGTACATAAATACAGGAATAAAAATAATGTACATAATAGAAATTCAGGAATTAAAATTATTTACAAATAGAAATTAGAAATTCGGGAATTAAAATTGTACGTAATGGAAATTTAGGAATTTTTATGTGCATAATTTTAATTCCCGAATTTCTATTATGTATATAATTTTAATTCACCGAATTCCAAGTTCACTCCGTGTTTCAAATACGTAAGACTCACATTTCAAAAATTGATTGCCGTTTAATTTGGTTTTTCGGGTATATTATTCTAGTAAAATATATAAATTATGTTTATTAAAAATTATTAATTAGAAATTTATTAGTCTTTTTATTAAATTTTCTTAACACTTACTTAATTTATAAAAAAAATATAAATTCAAAGAGATATATAAGAAAATGCGAAACATTTATTTTACTAAAATTTAAAGAAACATATCGCGCATCTTTAACTATACATTTTGCAGCTTTGAAAAGAAAATAATATTGCAAAAATTTTTAATAATTAATACAATTATATAGTGGCAATTATATATATATATATTTTTTTTTGCACTGCTCTAATTAGGAGTGATAGAAGAGGAGGAAGAAAGGAAGAGAAATAATGCTACTTCTATATAAGTAATCCCATGCAAAATAAAAACTGATCTGAGGTTTATCTAATTATTTTTTTAATCAGTTCTTTATTTCTTTTCTTTTCCGATATTTTCGTTCTAATATGATCATTCTTTTCAAATTCCAAAGGAATACCTAAGATTTTTGAAGTTGTAATATTTTTTAAAAATATAATTGCATTAATTAAATTTCTTTAATGTTTAATTATTTTTTAATATATAGGTAATATTTTTTTTTTAATATATAGCGACAATTATATATTTTTCTGCATTGCTTCAGTTAAGAGTTCTGGAAGATGAGGAAGAAAGAAAAAGGGAAGGAGAGAGAAAATGTGTTATTTCTGTATAAGTAATTCCGTAAAAATATTAACTTGAGACTGATCTAATAGGAGCGGAGTACATCGTATTTAAATTAATGCATGAGGGTTGCATTTTCGGCGCGATTGCCATCGTCGGGCATCCCGAAGGCAAAACCGACCGCCGTTTCGGCAATCAGCGTCCTGGGACAGCCGTGGAAACCGCGGAAACCCCCAACTCTATTATCGTTTCTGGCATCGTTATCGTTATTAGCCGCTCCATCGCCCTGCCATCGTCACACTCTACCGGAGAGAACGAAACTCTATATCCGCACATCGTTATCGAAGACCTGGCGCGTGCTCGTGAGAGGCCCCGAGGCCCGTGAATCGATAACTTTATAGGGAATTCAACTCTGGAGTTTGAAAAAAACGCGCTGCATTTCTTAAAAACTTTTCTCAGTATCCTTATCCGCGAGACCAAAAAAGGGGAAATATATTTTTACTTCTATTTTTTTCTTAATTAATAATCGTAATTTTTAATTATTTCAATTTTTTTTTGTTATTTTTTAATTATTAGAGATTTAGCAAGAGTTGAATAATATATAGTTAAAGATATGCTATTAGGGTGTATACTGTCGGAAAAAAAATTTTGAAAACCTATTCTCACGGAATGTTTTACCTTGAAAAAGCAGAAAATTCTCATGAAATTTAATTAGTATTCAGGGAATTTAAAAAAATTGCCGCTTTAATAATCTTATTCTTATTTAGTACTTAAAAAATATATGTCTGACAAATCTTTGCACTATTGAAATTTTCATTAAAATTTCATGTGATTTTTTTATTGGCATCTATTATTAGTATCTATAATTGTTCAATTTTTTTATATGTAATAATTTATTTATTATTTATTAATTAATCAGTGAATGCATGTTGCAATGCCTTATGTATATCTCTTTCAATTTGTCCGATTAATTTCACGTATATCTTTAATGATTCTATTTAATGCAGTTTGCTACTTTAGATATTTGTCTTACTTTTTTTCGCGCAAATCAATATACATATTATTGTTCCGACTTGTCGCTTTCAATATATATAATTATATACGTCTTATCGAAACCTTAACGCTCGGAATGAATTCAACGTCTATCCGTCGACAATTGATTGATCGCGTTTTGTGGTGTTATCGCGATGCGATGTGATTCGCGGTTCTGGACTATCTCGAGCAATTGGACAATAGAAACGGAGCGAGAGAGAATCTCTCTCCTCCTGACCTTCATCTCCGCGATCCGCTTTGATCTCTTTCTCGCTCCGATCCTTCGACCGAGGAGGGAGATTTCCGCGTCCGCGCTCCCTCTTCAAAATATCAACTAAACGATAACCGTATTTATTATTCATTCGGCCGCCTCCCTTCTCGTACTGCGCGCGTCCCCAATTTTACAAAGTAGTTTTTCAAAGAATTCCGCGAGCGGCCTGCATCGCCCATGAGACAGTCAGGGGTGCGTGTCTGTGTGTGTAGGGGTAAAAAAGTGCTGGTGGATCGCCGATGGAAGAGCCTTCACCTCTTCGGAATTATCATATTTTCGATGCGTACATATCCTTAAGAATAAGAGATAGAAATAAGCGTGTCTATCGTATACAAGAGAGATGCATCATAAAATAAGTGGAATTGATTAATATTAAAATTATAAGTTGCACTTATTAAAAATTATTAATTATCAGGCATTATTACTTACAAATTACTTAAAAATTGTAAATTACATTCGGAATGTTTAGGCCATGCTCTTAGCAAATATGCGAGAGTCGAGTAAATTTTCATTACTGCATAATTCATTCGCTTTTTCCATAAAGTATAGATTTTCGATACATATGTTAATTTACAAGCTTGCTCCGTTTTTTTTTTACGCGTCCCACACGAAGAAACGGAGATTAATTGAAGGATTTGTGCGCAATAGATCTCTCGTGACGAAAAGGAAAGAAATACATAAACTGACGGATCGAATCGAAGCGAGAGGCGAAGCACTATTTCGGCGGAAATCGAGTCTCGAACAATCCCCGATAGACAACAAGCAGAAAAGAAAGACATCCGACAGATCGGGTTATCGAGATTAACGCGAATACATCGAACCCGTGTGCGATTGCCGGTTTCCTTCGTATTCTCCAAAGATCGAAAGCTAGTCCGTCCACACAATCCAACGATATCAATTACTCTGTCCGACGTTGAGTTTCGACATCAGAGCGGATTAGACGCGCCCGATGAACTTGGAGAATCTCCATTTAGTTCTGATTCAAGATCGCTTCAGCTTCAAATAAAATTTGCGATACACTCGTCTTAGGGAGGTAATAATAGTATATCTTATTGATCATTCAAAATTTCAATTTTAGCATCTGAAAATTTAACTCTGAATATTGAATAATATTTTTCACCGAATTAAATTTCTAACAATTAATAAATATTTATTAGAAGTGTTATCTTATAAAATTAATATTTTACAATATTTATATTAATAATGAAATTAATATTAATAAGGAACAATAAGATTAATATTGTTTTTTTAATATTATTATTATTTTATAATATTAATCCTATTATTTAGTATAAATATTGTATAATACTAAAATTATAAAATACTATAATAGTATAAAAAATTAATTTTATTTGAGGAAGATATACATAGGTATAATATATAACACTTAAGTGTATTTGCGAAATGTTATATCTTATACTTATTTAATTTTCGGCATTCTTAATAAAGTCGAATGAAATTCAATAAAAGTGAACGTAAAGCCAATATCGATGACATCTGCCTGGTTTTCCGATATAATTTCGCTCTCGACTCTTCTCGATCCTTCACACGATCTTGTGATACTTATTCTCGCGCGCGTTACATTCCCTCCCCGAGATCAGACGCCACTTTTCTTTTCCGTTTCCTGCGCTCATTCTCCTGCCTATGACCAAGTCCCCGAGGATAAAGGGGATCAGAGGAAAAAGGGGATATGGATT